AATAATGTAAATGGTCTTCTTTTTAATTCTGTTCGTTCTTAGAAATATATGATTCGTATATTAATGGATTTGGAGAGCTAATTGGCATATTAGAAAATTAAAAATTACAGGACAACCAGTTTCCCACTTAGAAATAACTTCCTATGTAGTAGTAAATGGAATAGTAGTTAGAATATGATGCAAAGAAAACTGATACCAGTTACAAGATATTTTACGAAAATAAGAAACTAACACATATTACCATCGACTGATTTGAAGAAGCAAAAACAAAAAACAACATTTAAAGAAAATCTAACATTGGCACTAACTAAGCTATAAGAGATAACGAGAAGCTAAAGAAGCAGAACCAAACAACGGCCAAGACAGCCGGCGGAGCAGAAGACGAGGTGGTCTGGTCGTGAGATATGACCTCAACGATCATCTTCTGACCTTTCTCACAATGACCCGACACTCCACTTATGAAATAGTAAGGAACAAAGTGATCAAACATGAATCGGGTCTTGCCTGTATTCGAGTAAAATCTCGGATGCGATGAATTGCATTGCTTGTAATCCTCCTTCGTCACTTGCATCACCGAATCTTTCTTGTACTTGAATCCTTACAAACAAACCAGCACAAATAGTGTTCAAAACTTGATGTTAAAAGATGGAAACGTTATTTGAGTGTAACTTACGAATGGTGTCTCCGACTTGGAACTGTTTATTAGAAGCCCAATCATTGAAAGTTGTAGAAGCATTTGCAGGAGGAACGAACCAATTGAGTTTGTATTCATGTGAAGAGACAAATGAGGAAATCATTAAGACAGTAACCAGCCAGAGAAACATCTTTTTCATTTTCTTAGCCTAAGAGTAAAACGATGGAGTAAGTGATTTTGGGGTTAATAAATTAGGGCTTTTATAAGCAATAAGACGAGTTGGTTACGCAAAGAGATAAGTGTTAGTGGATGGTTAAGAGCTTTTTGATACTTTTTGTTTAAGTGAATGCAGTTAGCCGAACAGAGGACGATTAAACACTCTTAATTGAATAAATGCAACTGAAATAAAATTATACGTTTTCTTGAAAGAAGTGGTTTATTCGGTTCGATTAAATCAAATTTTGTATTCTTTTTTAAAAAGGAAAAAGACTTTAAAAATCATGAACTTTTAAAAGTTGTTTATTTAATATTCAATTCTTTTTTTTTATAACTCTTTAATATTCAACTCTTTTATAAATTGTTTTATTCTTCTAAAAACAAAAATTCTACAATTAAATAAATTTCACATTTCAACAGAAAAAAATACCAATTTTTAACCTCAAATGTAATTTCAGTCAAATAGATGAAAATCAATAAAGCTG